CTCTCTCATTGACGTTTCTAGCTCTCTGTCTCTCCCTTCCTCCTCTCTGTGAAATATCAATAAATTATATTTTATAAAATAAAAAAAAAGAAGGGAGAGAAAAACATCAATGATTAGAGAGAATCATTGATTGGCTGCTTCCTTTACTCCTACTGGACATGTGCCCTTGACCAGAATCGAACCCGGGACCCTTCAGTCTGCAGGCCAACACTACTACGGAGCCAAACCAGCTAGGGCTTTATCGTACCTCTTGTTTCCAAAGACATACACCCTGCCCATGTATACCTACCTCCTAGCAGCCATGTCTAAACTACCGATACCCTTTTGATGCTGAGTGCCTCTCTCTCTTTTCTGCCCACCAGGCAATGTGTCTGCAACTACTGACGGCAATAGGGGCGCTGGCAGGCACCGCCTGTGCCCTCTTAACGGAAGGCGGGGCAGTGGGCAGTGAAGTTGCAGGTGGTACAGGTCCTGGCTGGATTCTGCCATTCACTGCAGGTGGCTTTATCTACGTAGCAACGGTGTCCGTGTTGCCTGAGCTGTTGAGGGAGGCTTCGCCATTGCAGTCACTTCTGGAGGTGCTGGGGCTGCTGGGAGGAGTTGGCATGATGGTGCTGATTGCCCACCTCGAGTGAGAGGCGGAGTAAACTGCCCCCACCCCAGCCCCAAACCGTTAGCCTCTGAAGTCCTCTGGGTCCGGGGTCTGCGGAGGTTGGGGGCTCTGGCCAGATTCATCTGCCAAAGGAAGGAGTTGTTGCCTAGGGAAGTAGTCATTTCGGCATGAAAGCAGCAAGATTTGACAGTCTTATAGGAGCTGAGGAGATGAGCATGAGAGGCCAGAGGGACCATAGTGTTGGGCATGTGCTGACCACGTTGTTGGGTGTGGGGCTAAATGGGGCCAGGTGGAAGGCTGGAAGAGGCCATTGATGGCAGCCTACCGGGAGTCTCCTACCCCACCTGTTCTCGGACAACCAAGCTGCCCCACACAGGTTTCTCCAGGCCCTCTCCCTCCCCCCCCGCCTGTGGGTGGAGGCTGCAGGCAGGGCTAGAGCCCTGGGAGTCCCGGCAGCTGGAGTCGCGATAAACATCTACTAAACTTCAATCGTGTGTCTTGATTTGGGGGGGGGGGGGGGGGGGGCTTTAGTTGCTAATCTCGTTGCCTGATTTTTGTTTCTAATATTTTTTATATCTCTGTTTGGGTCGAGGGGGTGGGGTGGTGACCGGAAATAAAAAGTCCTCGGATCTCCCGCCCTGAATGCATTCTTTGTCTTTTGGGGGGAAATGGGGGCCCCTCATCTTCCCACTCCTCGTGGCCCCAAGTAGCGGCGCCTGGCCACGCCCCCGTGGTGGGAGGTCTGCTCGAGCGGGTGGCCGCCGGCGGCTAAAGCTGCCGCGGCTGCCATTGGCCAGGCTTTGCTCTCGCCACGCCCCCTCTGCGCCCGGATTGGCTCCGGGCTGGTCCCGCCCACAGCCAGCCATGGCGACTCCGCTCCGGCTGGGCTCCGCGCTGGCCCTGGTCACAGGTTGCGGGGTCCCTTTCAGGGCGGGTTGGGGTGCCCTTGGCCTCTGCAGCCGCTGGCCCGGATCCTACTAACCGCCTGTCCACCTCTGGCCCCTGCCCGCGCCCACCCCGCGTGTTCTCGCCCGCAGGTGCGGGAAGCGGCATTGGCCGCGCCGTCAGTGTGCGCCTGGCCCGAGAGGGGGCCGCCGTGGCCGCCTGCGACCTGGACGGGGCAGCGGCCCAGGAGACCGTGCGGCTGCTGGGCGGCCCGGGGGGCGAGGAGGGGGCGCCCCGTGGGGCCCACGCGGCCTTCCAGGCTGACGTGTCTGAGGCCGGGGCCGCCCGGCGCCTGCTGGAGCAAGTGCAGGTGAACGCGGGCGACCTCGCCCTCCAGGCGCTGCCCTCCACCGCCCGGGCGCTTGATGGTTTTGGTGTGTGACCTCCCTCTTCCGTAGGCCTGCTTTTCTCGCCCGCCGTCTGTCGTTGTGTCCTGCGCGGGCATTACGAGGGATGAGTTTCTGCTCCACATGTCTGAGGATGACTGGGACAAAGTCATAGCTGTCAACCTCAAGGTGGTGACCAAACCTGCCATTTCTGGCCCCTTTCTCTTGGGAAGGGAGTTGCAGGATGACTCTCGCTCCAGCTGATCCTTCTCCCTTGTTACTCTCCCCCGTCCCCCCAACTAGGGTACCTTTCTGGTCACTCAGGCTGCAGCCCAGGCCCTGGTATCCAGTGGTTGTCGTGGCTCCATCATCAACATCAGCAGCATCGTAGGGAAGGTCAGGTGGAGCTGGGATGAGGTCAGGGCCCAGAGAGGAGAGTTCTCCTGGGGCTCCTGGTTCATCCCAGCTCTCTGACTCACCTGCAGGTGGGGAACCTGGGACAGACCAACTACTCAGCGTCCAAGGCTGGAGTGATGGGGCTGACCCAGACTGTAGCGCGGGAGCTGGGAAGGTTGGTCAGACACCGGGGCCAGGACTGCTGGGGCTGTGGGAGCTCCGAGGGAAGGGTCATCGGTCTTCTTCCACAGTCAGCAGCTGCTCTCCCTCCCACAGACACGGGATCCGCTGTAACTCTGTCCTCCCAGGGTTCATTACCACGCCCATGACACAGAAAGTGCCACAGAAAGTGCTGGACAAGGTAGGCCATGGGCGAGGGCAGAGAGCTGAACGTGCAGAGGCCAGACGCTGGGTTTGAGAGAGCCAGAGAATGCCAGACCCAGCGCCTGGCTAGAAGCGGGCCATCAGGAAGTGCATAGGAATGAAGACAGAAGAAAAGAGGGTCAGGACTCAATCTAAAAAAAAAAAAAAAAAAGAAAGAAAGAAACTTTCAGCCACTCATGAGGGTTTCCTTACAGGTGACCGGACTGATCCCGATGGGACATTTGGGGGACCCTGAGGGTGAGCGCTGAGTGAAGGGAGGCTCTGGGGAGGGCCCTGAATGAGGTCCCAAAGCCTGTGGTGTCAGAGAGGGTCTCACAGGGTTTGGGGGAGGGTTCCGGTGAGAGATGATGGCTCTCTGGGTCGATGAGGGTGAGTAGGAGCCTTCACTCTCCCCACTCCTCCCATAGACGTGGCAGATGTGGTCGCATTCTTGGCATCTGATGACAGTGGATACATCACCGGGGCCTCAGTGGAAGTCACTGGTATGAGGCCGCCCTGGGGAGGGGGAGGGCTGGGAAGAGGAACCCCGCTGACCTGTGGGGAGTCTGGAGGCGCTGAAGGAAGGGCCAAGCTCCCGAGGGCCAGGGACAGAGGAGGGCGCGCGCCCCACCCCATTTGTCTCCACCTGTGCATCTGTCCATGTTTCTGCCCCTCCCAGGAGGACTTTTCATGTAACTGCCTCCAGGACCGGGACTCTGCTCGCCCCCCACCACTCCGCGGCCTCCTGCTGCTGAGGACTGAGTTCCCAGGCTACAAAAGAGGTGGCAGTGTATGGCTCAGGAATGCTGAATATGGGAGGCAGGGGTGCCTGTGACCTTAATAAATTCCAAATCCTCTTCCCTGCCACCTCCGGTTCTTCTTGTGTCCAAGCCCTCAGACCCTTCCCCACCTCCCCCTCTCCCCAAAGGATTGTTCCCTTTCACCGCCTGGTCTCCCAGGGCAACCCCTGCCGCCGGGTGTGAGGAGAGAGTGTATGTCACTGTGTATTCGTGACAATCTGGGTCTTTTTGAGGAAGGGGGTCTTTGGCCCACCCCCTACCACTGGTCCTGCAGCCCCAGTTTCCTCCCCCCAATACCCTGGACGTTGTGTTCCCCAACCGTGATTTGTTCATGGCCCCATCCCAGTGTCCAGTCTGGCCTTCGGAGGGGGTCTGGAACAGGTGGCCCTCCCCCACCGCTCTCCTTTCTCTGAGTCCCCCCTCTCCTTTCTCTCCACCTTACAATAGCTGCAGCCGGCCTGGGGTCGGCTGGGGGGATTATAGGAGGGGGCCAGGATTAGGGGAATGGACCAGCGATGAAAGGAGCTGGAGGAGAGCAGAAGGGAGGGGGCTGGGAGGAGGAGGAGGGAAGGGAGGGGGTCTGCGCTAATCGACTCCGGAGCCCACATAAGGACTGGCCACGGACTGAAGGAGAGGACAGGGAAGTAGGGGGTAACCGGGGGAAGGGGCGAGGGGACCCACTGCTGCCCTGTCCCAGAAACAGGCCACCCCCTGGCAGCTGCAGCCCAAGCCCGGGAGCTGAGGCTGGAGGAGACGGGGACCCCCTCACGGTCTTTCCCCCAGTGTCCCGCTCACCCCTGCCCTCCGTGGGGATCGCGCTGCCCCTTCCTCTTCTTTCCTCCGTCCCCGTCCTTTACCGCCCAGCCCCGGCGGAGGTTCTGCCCGCTCCCCCTGCAGACACTCGCCCCTGGGCCCCGCACAGCAAACCCCCTCCCCGGCAGGGGCCCCATCTGTGTCCCTCCCGCGTGGCGCCCCATCCCGTCCCTCCGCGCCTCCCCCCGCACGGGCCGCGGCTCCTGATTGTCCAAACGCAATTCTCGCGTCTCCGGCTCGGCCGAGAGTTGAGTCTGGACGTCCCGAGCCGCCGCCCCCGAACCTCGAGGGGGAGCAGGCGGAGGGTCCGGGGAGCCCAGCGGCGGGGAGCGGGGCCCGGGAGGCCCCGGCGCCTCGGGACCTGGTTGCACTCTCGGGGCGGGAGGCTGAGCGGAGGGTCCGCGCAGCTTTGTCCCCCAATCCGGGCCGGGCCGCCAAGTTGTGTGCGGGACGGGGAGCCGTCCCGAGCCGCCGGGGCCGCGGAGTGGGGGGGCGGCCCTCCGGGAGCCCGCGCAGGCCCCGCCCTCCGGCGGGAGGCCCGGGGGCGGCAGGGCCGGTAGCCCGGCCGGCGGGGGCGGGGGCCGCGGCCCACGTGGCGGGCGCCTCGGGGCGCTGCTCCCGGCGGCGCGGGCGCACCCGAGGGCGGGGACCGGGGCGCCCACGTCGCGTCCCACCCGAGCCGCGAGCGGCGGTGACGTCCCGGCGGGGGGAGCGGGGCGGCGGGGCGGCGGAAGTGACGTGGGCCTGTGCCTGTGCCGGGCCTGCGGCAGCGGCGGCGGCGGCGGCGGCGGCGGCGGCGGCGGCGGCGGGAGCTGCAGTCGGAGCGGCGGCCGCGGACCGGCGAACTCGGCCCGGGAGAGGGACCGGGCGCGGCGCTGCGGCGGCTGCGCGGGCTGCGGAGCGGGGTGAGGGCCGGCGGGCGGGGGCCGGAGGGCGCCGGAGGGCGGGGTCTGCGCGGGCCCCTAACCCGGTCCCTTCCCTCCCCTCCCCCTCCCAGCCCACCTCCTCCGCCGCGGCGGGGTCTGCGCCCCGTCACCATGACGACGCCCGCGAACGCCCAGAATGCCAGCAAAACGTGGGAACTGAGCCTGTACGAGCTGCACCGGACCCCGCAGGTGACGGTCCCTCCGCTACTCCCGCCCCACGCCCCCGGCCACGGGCCCGCGCAGCCTCCTCCCCACCCTGGGCCCTGCCTTCCGACCACCTTAGCCTTTCAGGCCGCGTCCACATTTATTTTCCTTAATTCTCACAGCAGCCGGAGAGGCAGAGCACACATTGCTGCCTCTTCTGAAAGGTGGTGAGCAGTTCCGTGTGGCAGAGGTGCGAGCCCTCCAGGGAGTTTACTGAAAACGGGCTTCTCACACAGCAAGGGGATGGAGCCCAGACCCTGACATAGGGCGCGCCATGACCACACTTTGAGAAACTCTGCTGAATAAGTCCCCAAACCACAGATCTGTGCCCCCTCACCCTCTGGTGGTTCTCCAACCTCAGGTCTTCCTCAAAGCGCCTACTCTTGATTAAGGGACATTAATTATCTTCTCTATTCCCTCCGATCAGTAGCTCCTCTCTCAGAATTCCCATCTTTCTCAAGTGGCCAACACGGGGTATCCAGATTCTGCCGTCTCAATGTATTTCTCAAAACTCCCATTTCACAGGCCACTTGTCTGTCTACTTATTTGTTTGTTTGTTTGTCTGTCTGTCTTAGAGAAAGAGGAAAGAAGAGAGGGAAATATCAATTTGTCCCACTTATTTATACATCCATTGGTTAATTCTTACCTGCACCCTGACCAGGGATTGAACCTTCAACCTTGGCATAACAGGACAATGTTCTAACCAACTGAGCTACCTGGCCAGGGCAGACCAATTATTTCTAAAACTCTACCCCAACCCACCGCCGCCTTAACCGCCACCGCCTTCCCCCCGCTGGTGCCTCCAGGAAGCCATCATGGACGGCACAGAGATTGCGGTCTCCCCTCGGTCGCTGCATTCGGAGCTCATGTGCCCCATCTGCCTGGACATGCTGAAGAACACAATGACCACCAAGGAGTGCCTCCACCGCTTCTGCTCCGACTGCATCGTCACGGCGCTGCGGAGCGGGTAACGGAGGGCTCCGTGGAGCTGGGTTAGAGATGCAGCGCTGAGGCCTCAGGGCCCAGGCGCCTGACTGCTTGGGCCCCCTCTCTCCGCCCCAGGAACAAAGAGTGCCCCACCTGCCGCAAGAAGCTGGTATCCAAGCGGTCTTTGCGCCCAGACCCCAATTTCGATGCTCTGATCTCGAAGATCTATCCCAGCCGGGAGGAATACGAGGCCCACCAAGACCGGGTGCTCATCCGGCTCAGCCGCCTGCACAACCAGCAGGCGCTGAGTTCCAGCATCGAGGAGGGGCTGCGCATGCAGGCCATGCACAGGTGCGAGAGGGGCTGTACATGCAGGCCATGCACAGGTGCGAGAGGGGCTGTACATGCAGGCCATGCATAGGTGCGAGAGGGGCTGTACATGCAGGCCATGCACAGGTGCGAGAGGGGCTGTACATGCAGGCCATGCACAGGTGCGAGAGGGGCTGTACATGCAGGCCATGCACAGGTGCGAGAGGGGCTGAACATGCAGGCCATGCACAGGTGCGAGAGGGGCTGTACATATAGGCCGTGCACAGGTGCGAGGAGGGGCTGTGCATGCAGGCCATGCACAGGTGCGAGAGGGGCTGTACATGCAGGCCGTGCACAGGTGCGAGGAGGGGCTGTACATGCAGGCCGTGCACAGGTGCGAGAGGGGCTGTACATGCAGGCCGTGCACAGGTGCGAGAGGGGCTGTACATGCAGGCCATGCACAGGTGCGAGAGGGGCTGTACATGCAGGCCGTGCACAGGTGCGAGGAGGGGCTGTGCATGCAGGCCGTGCACAGGTGCGAGGAGGGGCTGTGCATGCAGGCCATGCACAGGTGCGAGAGGGGCTGTACATGCAGGCCATGCACAGGTGCGAGAGGGGCTGTACATATAGGCCATGCACAGGTGTGAGAGGGACTGTACATGCAGGCCATGCACAGGGGCTAGGAGGGACTGTACATGCAGGCCATGCACAGGTGCGAGAGGGGCTGTACATATAGGTCATGCACAGGTGTGAGGAGGGGCTGTGCATGCAGGCCGTGCACAGGTGTGAGGAGGGGCTGTGCATGCAGGCCGTGCACAGGTGCGAGGAGGGGCTGTGCATGCAGGCCGTGCACAGGTGCGAGGAGGGGCTGTGCATGCAGGCCGTGCACAGGTGCGAGAGGGGCTGTACATGCAGGCCGTGCACAGGTGCGAGGAGGGGCTGTGCACGCAGGCCGTGCACAGGTGCGGCCGGAGAGGGGCCGGGCCGGGCTGGCGGGCGGACCCACGGGCCAGACTCGGTGCTGCCTGCCGCCTGCTGTCTTGTAAGCCAGCCCCCTAGGAGCTAACAGAGGCCTGATGGCCAGGCCTGGAAGTCATGGCTGTAAATGCAGCTTCTTAGCAAGAGGCGCTACTGTTCTTAAAAGGAAAACAGCTCTCCTAAGTTTCTACAAATCAGAATAGTAGAGTGGTCTGAAGTGTAAGCTCTGGACTCATTGCTGGGAATTAAAACACCCCCTAGGCCAGCACTGCTGGGTCTGTAATGTGTATGCAGGTTACCTGAGGGTCTGGTTTGAAATGCAAAGTGTGGTTTTGTAGGCCTTAAATTCTGCATTTCTGCCAGCCTATGCTGCAGGCTCCTTTGAAAGGCAAGGGACTACTTGATTTCAAACAAGTTATTTAACCTCCCTAAGCCTCCGTTTCCTCAGCCATAGAATAGAGGTAATGTAATTACTTGTATTATGGGAGAGGACCAATGCAAAATGCGTAGCAGTGTGCTTGGCAGGTAGTCAGTATTTAATAAATATTAGGTGTCACCTTTAAGATTCCCCTGATCTTTCCAACCTGAAGTTTAAAATCTGAGTCTTCTTATCCTTGATGCTTTCTAACCTCAACCGCTTGCTTCTACAGGGCCCAGCGTGTGAGGCGGCCGATGCCTGGGTCAGATCAGACCGCCACGATGAGTGGAGGGGAAGGAGAACCAGGGGAGGGAGAGGGCGATGGGGAGGATGTGAGCTCAGACTCTGCTCCCGACTCTGCCCCCGGCCCCGCCCCCAAGCGACCCCGTGGCGGGGGCGCAGGGGGGAGCAGTGTAGGGACAGGGGTAGGAGGCACTGGAGGGGTGGGTGGGGGCGCTGGTTCTGAAGACTCTGGTGACCGGGGAGGGACTCTGGGAGGGGGTACCCTGGGGCCCCCAAGCCCTCCTGGGGCCCCTAGTCCCCCCGAGCCAGGTGGAGAGATTGAGCTCGTGTTCCGGCCCCACCCGCTGCTCGTGGAGAAGGGAGAATACTGCCAGACAAGGTGAGAGCCCTGTCTCCCCAGGCCGCTGGGAAACCAGACGTATGGCCTCCCCAGGGTGGGCTTTGCCGGCCAAAAGCCCCCACCCAGCGCCCGGTGAAAGCCCTGCCCCCCCTGCCCTGGCTCCCGCCCTGAGCGCGCTCTCCGCCAGGTACGTGAAGACCACGGGGAACGCCACGGTGGACCACCTCTCCAAGTACCTGGCCCTGCGCATTGCCCTGGAGCGGAGGCAGCAGCAGGAGGCGGCGGAGCCGGGAGGCCCCGGAGGGGCCGCCTCCGATGCCGCGGGACCTGATGGTGGGGGGGAGGGCGGGGGCGCTGGCGGAGGCGACAGCCCTGAGGAGCCTGCCTTGCCCAGCCTGGAGGGCGTCAGCGAAAAGCAGTACACCATCTACATCGCCCCCGGCGGCGGGCCCTACACGGTGAGCCTTGGAGGCCCCGGGGTGGGGGGGCAGGGAGCTGGCTGGGGCTCCACAGCCAGCATCCTGATTTCTGACTGACCCCCTCCCCCTCTCTCCCTCCCTCCTCTTCCCTCTCTCCCTCTCTCTCCCTCCCTCCTCTTCCTCCTCTTCCCTCTCCTCTCCCTCCCCTCTCTTCTCCTCCCCTCTCTCCCTCTTCCCCCCTCCACCTCCCCTCTCCCTCTCCTCTCTCTCCTCTCCCTTCTCCTCTCCCTCTCTCTTCTCCCTCCTCCTTCACGTTTCCCCCCTTTGCCCCATCTCTTCATTGCTCCTTTCCTTGCCTCCTCCCATGGTCACCTCACTCATTTCCTTTCCTGCCTTCTCCAACTTCATTTTCTCTTCCCTGCCTCTTCCTCCCACGCCCTCTGCAGACACTAAATGGCTCTCTGACCCTAGAGCTGGTGAATGAGAAATTCTGGAAAGTGTCCCGACCACTGGAGCTCTGCTATGCCCCCACCAAGGATCCAAAGTGACCCCACAGGGGACAGCCAGCGATGGGGACCTCCCCAGCCCTGTCCCCGGTGCCCCCAGCCAGCCAGCCAGCAGGAGGACACACATGAGGACATGTGGCTTTTATACAAAGTATATCAGATTCTTCTATATTGTACAGATGCACCCACATCTACTGCCTTTTCTATTGCCCCAGACTCCCGTCTCCCCGAGGTGTGGGAAGGTGAGACCCTCCTCCAGCCCTCCCACCGGCGACAACAAACGTGCTTTTCCTCTTTCAAACCTGCAGTCCTGTGTGTGTATGGGTGCTAGAGGGGGAGGGGGTCCGAGATGGAAAGCCGGACGTCATGCAGAATCAGCCTTGGAGCCGGGAAAATGTCTGAGGTTAAAGGCGGGTCCTTCCCTTATCCTGAACCTCCCAATAGCAAATAAAACCGGGAGGGGAGGGGAGGGGAGGGCCGGCCGGGGAGGCTGGTGGAGGCAGGACGGGAGCGCAGGGCTGTGAGCTCAGGTCCTACATTTGCCCCTGAATCCTGAGTGGCCCGGGCTGAACTCGGAGTTCCAGTTCCACACGGAAGGCAGGGAGGTGGCGGGTTTGTGGAGGGGACAGGCCCTGAGGGTCTGGGGGAGAGGGGGGAGACTGGGGGGGGGGGGGGCTGCGAGAACCATCTGCTCCACCTCGCAGCCTCGGGCCGCGGGGAGGGAGGCCGCCCAGCCGTCCTGGGGGGCGGGGGCGGGAGGCCTCCCCGCAGCCCGGCTCCCATGGGTGGGTGGGAGCAGGAATCGCCTGTCCGCGGGGCTGACGGGCACACTCCACCGTTTGGGCCCCTCACTTCCTGCTTCCGTCGTGCCCTTGGCGCCCCCACCCCAATCGCCCCAAATCCCCGCTGCGCTGGGCCTGCCCCGCAGGCGGGGAGCCAGCGGGGGGGGGGGGGTGAGCGGCCCGGCGCCCGGTGCTCGCTCGGGTTCCCAGTTTGTTCCCGCACCGCTAGCCCCCCAGGACCGGGGACACGGGGACCCTCCAGCTCTGCGACCCGCGGCCACCCCACCTGCTGCCCGCAGGGTAGACCGCCCGCCCCGCCGTGTGCTCCCCCCGGACCCGGACCCCCACCTCCACCCCCACCGGGTTCCCGGGAGCGGCGGGAGGCGCCGCTGGGATTTCGGAGGGAAACGCCGAGGGGCCGGGGAGGGAGCCCCAGAGCTGAAACGCGGTGGATTCGCTGGTGGTTCCGGGAGGTCGGTCCCCCTCCCGCCGGCAGCTTCCCTCCGGGGCCGCCCGAGGCCGGCCCTCCCGCTCACAGCCCCACCCCCACCCCATCCCCAGGGCCCCCCCCCCCCCACCAGGCCCGGGCCCCGGCCGCCCTGGGAGACAGGCCTGTTGGGGTGACCCCGCGGGGAGGGCCCGGAGGCTGGCTGTGAGTGACCCTTTCCCGCCCCCGGGAGGAGTGACCGGCCCACAGCCTTCCACCCCGCTTCCCGGGGTCCCCACCTCAGCCCCCGGCTAGGCCGGCAGTGGGGGGGGGGGGGTGCACAGTGCACCGGGGAGCTGGAGGGCTCTGCGGGGGAGCTGCAGCATGGAGGCAAGCAATGCCAGGGGGCGGGTGGGGAAAGCGCTGCCCGCAGCCCGGGCCCAGCCCGGCCCCGCGGCCCCGGCCCCAGCCCGGCCCCGCAGCCTCCGCCCCAGCCCGGCCCCGCAGCCCCGGCCCCGGCCCGCTGGCCGGCTCCACGCGCCGTGCGCCCCCGGGGACCTGGTGTCACACAGACATCGTGTGGCCCCGCCTGCCAGGGCCCATCAGAGATGGTCACAGTGAGCACCGGTGCTGAGTCCAGACCCATCAGTGTGCCCCGTTACATCTCCCTCTGTCCACCCCCCACCCCCGCACGGGCCGCCCTCTGACCCCGGCAGCGGCAGGAACGGCTGCTGGCGGGCTGCTGGCGGGTCGGAGAGGCCTTTTGACATGCAAATTGGACTGTCGGCGACCACTGAAGCTCCTTCCCGGTGTCCCATTGATCTCCAGTTAAAGACCCCGTCCCTCCCGGCTCAGGCCCCGGGGTGGTCCGCCAGCCTCTCCAGACTCCTCACCCGCAGGCTCCTCCGGGCGAGCTCTGTGCCAGCTGGGCCTCGGGCTCTCCACTTCCCTCTGCTAGGCCTCTTCCTTCTTCAGATCGCAGCTCCTTACCCTCTCCCGGGAGGTCCCCTAACCTGCCTTTCAGGGTCACAGTACCCTTTCTGAGCTCCCACACCAAAGCACCTCTCCCAGCAGCTGCAGCCCAGTCAGCTCTGCACACCCACTGCGCACACAGCACAGCCGTGAGTGTGCGTGTCCCGGTGAGCACAGGGCACTCCCGGGCTGGGCCATGGCCGCCGTCTCACCCTGCATTCCCTGGCCGGGAGCTGAACTCACCACAAACAGTGAGCTGAAACATTGGTTGGAAGGACGCACACGCCCTGGGATCTGGGCAGGGTGCTAGGCGTTTCAGGCCTTAGATTCTAAGGCTTAGAAGCAGCGGGGATAATGTGGCAGCGGCACAGGATGAGGACTGGGAGAGCTGGGACCGTAAGGCTGAAAGCACAGGTGGCGTGGCCTCCCGCAGGCTGTGGAACCGCTCGGAACCCTCGCCTTCTTATCTATAAAGTGGGACCGCCTTCAGAATCCAGCCAGAGAGAAGAAAGAAAAAGCACCAAACTTGGAAAGATGAGTAAATTACCAGGACAATTAAACACGTGGCTGAGTCCTCAAAGGGGAAGTAAAGTCACAGGCTGGAGGAACAAAGGTGACCGGAGGCCAGAGGACGATCTGGCAGGGGCTCTGGTTACTGGAAGGGACAGGAGGGGACTGGTTCTGGGGGGGGGGGGGTGAGCTTTAGCCACCGGGGGCAGGAGGTGAGCTGGGAAATCAGGTGACAGGCAGTCCAAGGTGATTCACGAAGAAATAGAAAACCTAACAAACCTGTGAATTCTAATAAATTGAACTAGAAACCAGAAAGTGCGCACACACAGCTCCCAGATAGTTTCATAGGTGTGTCCCCCAACTCTTTTTTTTATATATATTTTATTGATTTTGTACAGAGAGGAAGGGAGAAAGATAGAGAGCTAGAAACATCGATGAGAGAGAGTCATCGATCAGCTGCCTCTTGCACACCCCCTACTGGGGATGTGCCCGCAACCAAGGTACATGCCCTTGACCACATGCCCTTGACCGGAATCGAACCTGGGACCTTTCAGTCCCCAAGCCGACGCTCTATCCATTGAGCCAAACCGGTTTCGGCGTCCCCCCAACTCTTAAAGAAACTGTTTGTTTACGTAAACTGCCCCAGACACTGGAAAAAGAGGGCCAATCACACTTATAAGACTAAAAATCCTAAATAAAATATCAGCAAACTGAATCCAGTGGAGTTTATGCAACTGTGTCTCTATATGTGTGTGTACATGCATATGTGTGACAAAGAAGAGTTTATTCCAGAAATGCAAGGAGGGCTACTTTAAAAATTCATTACTGAGCCCACTATGTGTGGCTCAGTGGCTGAGTGTAGATCTATGAACCTGGAGGTCACGGTTGGATCTGGTCAGAGCACATGTCCAAGTTCAGGCTCGATCCCGAGAGGGACATGCAGGAGGCAGCTGATCCATGATTCTGTCTCATCGCTGATGCTTCTCTCTCCCTCTCCCTTCCTCTCTGGAATCAATGTTTTAAAAATTAAGCAAGCAAATAAGGAAAGAAAGAAAGAAAGAAAGAAAGAAAGAAAGAAAGAAAGGAAGGAAGGAAGGAAGGAAGGAAGGAAGGAAGGAAGGAAGGAAGGAAGGAAGGAAGGAAGAGACAAGGCAGGAGAAAATTAGTGAAAGCTATGCCAGGCAAGACTCCACAGAGGGCTAGGAATAGAAAGAGCTTCTGATGTCAACGTAAGGATACGGGTGTCTACTACTTCTAGTCACCGAATGGCCAGTAAACATGGAAAAGATTCCCAACATCACCGGGAATATAGAAATGCGTATAAAACTGTGAGATGCTGCTGTACACACATGGAATCAGCAACAACCATCACGCTGCCGACACCAGCAGGAACTTCCAATGCTGTGACGATGTGAACAGCTCTAGCCAGTCAGTCGTTCAGCAAGGCCCGGTGATGCAGAAACCCCTGAGCCCGTGCCCACAGGTGTCCTCAGAGGGCACTCCACAGGCCATGGGGCAGGGGAGGAGGCCTGCGGACCGTGACCGGAAACCAGTTCACCGCCTTGGGTAAAGGAACGGGTAAAGGACGGTGTCTCCTTCCGACGGATGCTGACGGCCGTATTTATCAACATAGTGAGTAAGAGTTTGCGAAAATGGATGTTGTATGATACCATTTAGGTAAGGGTTTTTTGGGGGGCGGTTAATCCCCACCCGAGGATATTTTTTCCATTGATTTTATAGAGAGTGGAGGGAGGAAGGGAAGAGGGGGGCAGAGGAGAGAGAAACATCGATTGGTTGTCTCCCGAACCAAACCTGCCTCAAGGTTTGTGTCCTGACCGGGAATTGAACCCACAACCCTTTGGTGCATGGGCCAATGCTCTACTCACTGAGCCACACTGGCCAGGCATCATTCATGTTTCAAAATACACAAAACGACCATACATGTTCAGGAAAACGAACATTTTTTTTAACATATTTTATTGATTTTTCACAGAGAGGAAGGGAGAGAGATAGAGAGCTAGAAACGTCGATGAGAGAGAAACATTGACCAGCTGCCTCTTGCACACCCCCTACCGGGGATGTGCCCGCAACCAATGTACATGCCCTTGACAGGAATTGAACCTGGGACCTTTCAGTCCGCAGACCAACGCTCTACCACTGAGCCTAACCGGGTTAGGCAGGAAAACGAACATTTGTTAAAAGTACAAAATATGCGCGAGGAGGTCCCCACACTTCAGTGTGACAGCTGCCCCTGGGGAGCAGCGATGGGCGGGCTTTTGCCACTAGGCAGCGCTTTGTTTTTTGTTTTTTTTTAATATGTATTTTATTGATTTTTTACAGAGAGGAGGAGAGAGGGTTAGAGAGCTAGAAACGTCGATGAGAGAGAAACATCAACCAGCTGCCTCCTGCACACTCCCCACCGGGGATGTGCCCGCAACCAATGTACATGCCCTTGACCGGAATCAAACCTGGGACCTTTCAGTCCGCAGGCCGACGCTCTACCACTGAGCCAAACCGGCTTCGGCAAGGCAGCGCTTTGTTTTATTTTTAAAGAAAAACACACAAAGCAAAGGAGGCGGCTCAAAAGTGAGGGCTTGCTCGGCTGG